TTTAACCAACAAACAATATTTCAATAATTAAGTCAGAATATCAGAAAAACAGTTTTGAGAGTGAATAAAATCATTGTGTTGTAGATTTGTGTAACATTGTTAATGACAACGATTAAAGGATAAGTTGTGAGTCACCTCCTCCAGGTGGGTTTTCTCTCCCAGTTTGCTGACGACCCTCCGGGGGGCGTTTTCGCCCACATCCACTTCCTGGATGGACATGGACTCGAACAATGGGTGGCGGCGGACACTCAGGATCCGCCCCACCCTCAGGTCAAGTCTTGACACGTCAATACGAGGCTCCACCTCCAGAGAGAAAGCGTCACAGGTGGGAGGAGCTGTGAGAGAGAGAGACAGAGAGAGAGAGAGAGAGAGAGAATCAGTCTTTCTTCTCTTTCATTTATTGCCTTCCCTCTTCCGCTTCCTCTTACCTTTCCTCTCCCCCCTCCTCCTCCTCCCCTGTCTCGCTCTCTGCTCATGTGAGGAAGAGGAGGGTGGGGCTGATGCTCCTGTGGGATTGGCCGCTTGATTGACATTTGTTGCAGGGGCGGGGGCTTTTGTTGGAGTAGGCGGGGCTGAGGAGGACAGGCTCTTGGCTAAGAGAAGTAGACATTTTGTAAAGTAAGAATATTTTTACATTAAAGAAATTTTCATTTAGGACATGGATGCAAATTAAGGAATTTTTCAGAAATTGTTAACATTTTTGAAAGTCAGGACATTTTGTGAAACCAAGGTTATTCTGGAAATTGAATGTTATGTTTTTAAACTATTGTATTTTTCGCAACTTTACCGCTGCGTCTCCGTTGTTTCTCCTGCAGCTGAACTCTTAGCTGTTCGATGTCTTTCTTCAGTTTGCCGTTTTCCACCAGCAGCTTCTTCTGCTCTCGGACTGACGCCTGCAGGACTGACACACACACATCAACGTCATCAGCACGTTGTTTTGTTTTCATCCAGTTACAAACATAAAAGCCTTAAATTAAAGAAATAAACCGAGATATGTGAACCAGACAATTAAAAACACAATGCTTCTTTGTTATTGGTTTTTTTCTCAATGTCAGTATTTCGGGTATTTCGTTTTGCCTTAATATGATTTGGTGTATTTTGTTCTTACGTGCTTTCTCTCTGGTCAGCAGAACTTGAGTTTTTAGATACTCCATGATCTGCTCACCATCCTCTGGATCTAGCTTCATGAGCGCTGCTGCCAGGCTGAGAGTCGGACAAACAGAGGTGAGAGTGGGAAACATAAGAAACACTGACGTGTCGAAGGTCAGAGATAAACTTGCTTTAAGAGTAACATACATGTACACATTACTAACGTCAGGTTTTGAATCCAGAACTTTGAAGTATTTTAGTTTTGTTGTGAATTCCAGTTTGACCGCTGTAAAACCTACTGTAAAATTATTTCAGATGAATGTTAGAAACATCTGAAACATCTTTCAGCATCGGTTTTATTTCATAGTAATGAGACTAAAAATAATATTTATACACAAACCACATGAAGCAGAACTGAGGATGTGACTGAAACTGAAATGAGACATTAAAGACGTTTCGATCGATGTTATCTGCGATGAAGGAAACTACACAATAACAACATCAAAGGGCTTCACACACATTTGCATAATGATAAACAGAGAGTTACAGACGCACCCGGCAGCTACGTCTGGTTAACATTTACATTCACATTCAACTAAACGACTGACACACGTGTCTCTACAAAACACATACTGTTTATAAACATGGACCACAAAATCAAGACAAATGTTTCCGATCGCCCCCTGGTGGCTGGCTGCAGTACAGGTCTCAAACCCCTCCTCCTCCATGTTAGCAGATAGGACACGGACCACATGTGGCGTGAATATTATGACACGTATAGACAAATGTGAACCTGTTCATGTATGTAGAATATAACAATTACCTTGTTTATACGTTAATGACCAACAATTTTCTCCTGATCTTTATCTTAAATGAGATATTTGACCTTGTCCAACACACACACACACACACACAC